CCACCATGCACCTGAAACGCTTTGAGGTCGGAAGTCGGATATTCAACTTGGAAATTTCTGAGTTAAGAGGAGTCTGGACAGCAGGGGTTGTAGCCATAGACAGTAAAAGTGGGGAAAAAAAGTGGACGTAGTCATCGTGACATCACCCGTTGGTTTGTGGACTGCCGTTTTGAAGCCTCGAGTTTGACTGGTGCCGCCATGTTGATTTTTTGCAACCAGCGGCACCGGACGTGACCACATTTGAAAGAGACTGTGGAGCCAGCTAGCTTGCTAAGCTAGGTGCATCTGTAAATCAGGTTAACTCATTTTCCCGGGATGATAATTTTAACAGGTTTAAAACTAAATGTACTCACCAGAGAAAATTAACAGTGAACTCCTAATAAGCTTTTTCATCAGCGCTGGTTAAATTTACACAGTGCCGTGGGTACGAGTCACTCTAGCCTGATTGACAGGTTGCCATGATAACGACTTGTCAATCACAGATCATTCCCGCCCTGAAGCACTTTATGGTCTATTTTCCTATAATGGGGCCATAATTTACTTAATGAACATCATGTTGTTTTGAAGAAGACTTGAAACTAGCGATTGAGACCATAAACTCATTATGAAAGTGTTTACTGAGGTAATAAATCAGGTGAGAAGTAGGGTTAATTTTCCATTATTTCTAATAGAGCCAGACTTATTTTTGCAACCAGAGGAGTCATCCCCTGCTGGCCGTTCAATAGATTGCAGGTTTAAGGGACTTCCGCATTCGCTTCAGTTCTCAGACCCGAAGCTTCCCGCTTGGTTGTAACCAATTCTGTGGTCTGGTCGCTGCCACACCGACCACTAGTCAATGGCGTGCAGACTACTGGTCGCTAACACTAGGGGAGCTACAGATTGTGGTAGCTGCCACACGGACCACAGTTTCTGGAGAAGGCCCCTTTCTTGTCCTTGTCACACAAATTGTGACTGTACACATTAAAAAAGGGTCAGTTTCAAGTTTTTATACAGTCTATGTTTCCATAGTATAGTGACCTTAGATAATTTAAATTATCTCAACTGGCAGATAATAGAACTCCTTTTGTCTGATAGAGGGGAATGGATGTGTTGAGGAATTTTCTACTGCCTCAGGCTTAAGAATGAACTTGAACAAATCTGTTTATTAGGCTACCACTTAAGGAATGTGAACTATCAGAGATTAATGGTATCCCTGAGAAGAACCCAGTTATATACCTGGGTGTGATAAGAATGAAAAACTCTGCAATGATCTAAACTTCAGCCCTGTGATTGAACAAATAATGAACAAGTTCACCATGTGGTGGATGAGGGATCTTTCACTGAATGGTAGAGTTATACTATCTAAAGCTGAGGGAATATCCAGATCTATGTATACTTATCACTGGAACTGCCTACTGAAATATACAAAGAATTGGATAAGATCTTATTTAATTTCATTTGCACAAACAAATGTCATTATTTAAGGACTAACCCTAAACCTATGCAACATAAAAAATGAAGGTCTGGTCATTTTAAGTTTTGAAACCTTAAATAACACACAAGTTAAATGGTTAACTAGGTTGATAACCTTCCATAATTAAGTAGAGTATTTAATTTAATAGGAGGAAGTAAATTTCTACTAAAATGTCAACTATAAAATCGATAAATTACCTGTTAAGTTATCATAGCTCTACTGGCCTGGAAATTAATTTACAAACATAAGTTTAACATACAAATTACAGCATTTGGAACAACAAGAATATTGTTAGTATTTTTATTCATTAGCATGGTAGTCTGCATTTATCTTATAGAAAGATATTTTTGAAAGTATTTTATTCAAGCGCATGATTGCCGTTACTGTTCAGTTTAAAAACACCAAAGTATGAAGAAGACATAGCGAACCAGACTTAATCTTTTAATTTGGAACCAGGCGGGAGGGCATGAGACGGGAGGCTCCAGGCTGCAGCCATACAGTCTGGGGTTGCTGCCACATATGGTTATATCCTATACAGTAATACATCTTTATCGTTGTTCTTTGTTAAATATACTATTTTATTGATTATACCTATATTCTTATTTTTGCACAGTATATTGCAGTTTTGTGTGGTTATATCTACAGTTATAATGTTTTTGCTGTACAGTATTCTGAAGTTTGTGTTACATGTGCAGATTTTTTTGAACTTGTTTTTTGCAGTTATACAGTACAAGTAGTTATTCAGAGATACATCACAGACATAAATGTCCTACAGGACAGTCCCTGGACATCAATGTTATTTATTTATTTAAAAGGGACAGAGCATATTAGTGAACTTTGTAGTGAAAATGTCAGCTGTAGCCAGAAAGCTAGTTTTCATCTGTAGTCCCTGGCAGGTCAATACAATACAGATATCAAAAAGGTACTACAAAAGAATAATACAATCCACCACAATAAAAATCCCATTTCAATATTGTCACAATTTGTTTTACTGTGTGAAGTTTGTGCGAGAACACATGCACATAAGACGACTGCTGCCTCCCGCGAACCCGATGACATCGTCCATGTTGTCTGTGTTTCATTTCAGACATCGTCCGATGGAAATTTTGTAGACATCGCCCAACCCTATTAGATAGTAGAACACTACCATTCAGTGAAAGATCCCTCATCCACCACATGTTGAACCTTTTCATTATTTGTTCAATCACAGGGCTGAAGTTTAGATCATTGCAGAGTTTTTCATTCTTATCACACCCAGGTATATAACTGGGTTCTTCTCAGGGATACCATTAATCTCTGATAGTTCACATTCCTTAAGTGGTACCCTTAAAAACTGATTTGTTCAAGTTCATTCTTAAGCCTGAGACAGTAGAAATACTCAACACATCGAATTGCTTTGATCCATTCCCCTCTATTAGACAAAAAAAATGTTGTATAATCTGCCAGTTGAGATAATTTAAATTATCTAAGGTCACTATTCTTTGGAACCATAGACTGTATAAAAATTTGAAACTGACCTTTTTAATGTATACAGTCACAATTTGTGTGAACAGAATGGGGCCAGAATGGGGCCAGAATGGGGCCTTCCCCAGAGACTGTGGTAGCGACCAGTGGTCCAGGGCGGTTTTGTTCATTAGGGCAATCGGGCAACGAACCACCAAACCGGGAAAGGTAGGGGATTTTTCTAACACTTTCTACCACACTGTTTGATTGGTTGTGACTAGTTTTTGTGTTTTTGACACAGTTTGCCTCTGAATATCGTTATCCAATCAGCGTCAAGTCGCGTTCCGTGGAGCCCATTTCGGGCGATTTCAGTCTGGTTGAAAATCGCCCAGATCTCTCTCATAGACTTTCATGTTAAGGCAGTTTTTTTCGAGCTGCGGCCGCTACAATGCAATCTCTATGGGTTCCGGGAGGGTTTGCACTTATGTGTTTACGTCATGCGCCCAGCAGCAGAGCTACGCTTCTGCCACCTGAAAACGACTTGGCAGTCCTCCAGCTGCTAAAAGCAGCTGCTGTTTCAACAAAACATTCAGGTTGAAAATTCAACCGTGGTGCTTTTTTGAGAGATGCAGTGACTGAACCAGCGGTGAGTAAGACATACAGTAGTATAAATAAGACATGAAATTTAATCTTGTTAAGCTATGAGGAGAGGAAAAGTCTGCCAGCCTCTAGGCTAATTTATGCAGTGTAAAATGCCATAGAAGCCAATAAATATATAAAAAAACAAAAAAAAAAATATTGATAGTTATTATTAAGCCGACTTTTAACCTTATGTTAAATGTGCTTCATGTGTGGAAGTGGTCAATTTAAAATTACCTTTACAGCACTTAACCAGTAACAATTATTTTATGTTTCTGTCTTTTATTGCCATAAACCGCAGAAGAAAGAGGAGGTAGCATGATGGCCATCACTTGCATCTTTGTCAGAAGAGGAGCAGAATAGTTGATCACTACTGAAAGTTCATTCATTGTAGACACTGACAATGAACTTCAGGATGTAGCTGTTCACAAATACTGTACAGTATGTAGCCTAACGAATAATCCTTGTGTAGCTGGCTTAGACCATGGAACTGGTCACCCTAGCAATCATCGCAAAAATTCCCCCCCCTGACAGATTTGGCAGGAGCCGCCACTGCAGTGGTCTGTGTGGCAGCGACCAGTGATCGTGGCATACCTGCAAATATCACTGCCGTACAAATGCTTACTCTCCAACAGCACTACTAACAACAGGGATCAATAAAGGCCAACTTAAAACGCAATGTGAATTGTGACGTTAAGCTCGGAGCCCAGTTCACTGGGTCCAGGTCACTGCTGGGGCTCAGCCTGCCAGCTGCTCTCAATCACACACAGAGCATTTCTGATGTTTCACCTTATTTACCATACCTTATTTTTTAATATTTAATGAACAAAAATCTTTTAACAGTCCATATAGAAAACATATGTGGACTTGCCCCCACCCTCATTGTTTACCAGTCTATAGCCTATGGTTTCTATCAGGACATGATGAACCTGGTTTACCAAGTTTATGGATGGTCTGCACAACCAGTAACCAACCTGCAGCATCTTTCTAAACAGCAGCAGGCCACGCAGCCCGCATCTGCAGAGTCCCAGTTTCTGCATCACATGAGGCGAGGGAAGCCGGACCAGAGTCCTGGTTTGGCAGAAACAACCCGGGAAGCATCAAGAACAGATTCAACCGGCTCAGAGTGTTGACTGCATTGTGGTTAGCCCTGCTTGGACTCTGCACCTGCCAATAACAGGGCCTCCATGGGCCGTTTCATTCATGTAAACCCAGAGGGCGGTCGCGCTTCAGCCCGGCACAAAGTCTCGTGCAGCCGGTGCGTTTCTTTCCATCCAAATCCCGGTTATTTCCTCTGAAACGCGGCGTTATCTTTTCCTGTAACCATTCCTCAGACAGTCAACAAACCGAGCGGCGACAGTTCACCGTCCCCACAGCCCAGCACCAGCCCCGGCGCTGATCTGCGTGTTGCTGCATCAACCAACGAGCGGTACCTCTATCTGAGCCCGACGACCGGACCACTAACCTGTTTTCAGCGGTGATGGTGCTGCAGACTGGAGGTCCGCTCCGCCGCTGCCACACCGTCCTCCATCTTCCCTGTAGCGGCTGCCGTCTGGAAGTGTGTGTGTGTGTGTGTGTGTGTGTGTGTGTGCGTGCGTGCGTGCGCGCGCCAGCCTCCAGGCCCCTCCTTCCCACCCCGCCACCGCCACCGCCACCGCCACATCATTATAGGACACAACAAGCCTGTCCTCTGTGGGCCTGTCCAGACGGGTAGTAGGCTGCTGGAGCAGTTTGGAGTATTTCTCATCCGTGTCAGGGTTAATGGAAATCCATATTCATTCAAAATCAGACCTTATGAAATAATCATTTAAACCAGAGAAAAGTATGAAATAACTGTTTCTTAATCTGTATAAAAATGAAATAAGGGATATAGGCGTTATATTTCATAAATGTTTATATTCCCCAAAACGTAAGGCTTCACTATTCTAGGGCTGTTTTTTTTTTTAGTTCATGAAACGCTAAACCACTTATTTTCATTTTCAATTCATTGTCTGTTTTGCTTTAAAAACCTTAACATTTCAAGATATTTAGTCTGAAACATGCTAGAATCAGCCCTCAAGCCCCAACATGTGCAATGTGTGTACTTGTCATGTCATTAAAGCTGCTGTAAGCCACATAAACATGAGAGGAAGGCTAGATGCTGCATTATAGAAGGAAAAACACATGTTTGTCAAGCATGGATTTGGCTTATTTCCTTGCTTGCTAAAGCAATTCATCTAAAAATGAATAAAAACAGGAAACGCAAATTAAAGCTGCAAACTAGTAGAGATAAGCAGATGCTACCAAACATCCAAAGCGTGTTTCACTCCTGTGGATCGCGCGGTTTCAGTACATTGTGTCAAAAGAAGAATACCACATCACATGACATTCCAAGCATCCAATGCCACTGGTGCTTTGAAAAGCGTTTATCAGTTTGACAGTTATAGAAATATGGTGATGTACATGTACTGTGCAGGTGTGGAAAGTTCAGACTGAGTGCCACTGTGGGCTCATGTTTTTAGATTTCATGGTTGACGTGACATTTCATATGAATGTGTGAGTGATTCAATTCATTAAATTAGCCTGTTACTTTTATTACATTACTACTTGGTATCAGGAGGAAATGTCAAGTTCTGTACAAAAGTTTTAGGATTACCATTCAAAACAGTATCAGTTCATCTAGGTACACTTGCACATAGTTTTTGAAGGAACTCAGCAGGCAGGTTGGCCCAAACATCTTGAGACTCCCCCTTCTGTGGATTTAGGCAGCCCCAGTTGCTTCTCTCTCCATGTTATTCCAGACAGACTGGATTAGTTTGAGATCAGGGCTCTGTGGGGCACAAACTACAGAACATTTTTACTAAGGTAACCAAGATGGGGCACTGAGCTAGCAGAATGTGAGAGTGAAGAAGAAGAGCTGGGATTTGTGGGTATTTATGGTAATGCTGGTGATGACGTGGTTTATGTGTGGTCCTGCTCCTGAAACTCTGCTAATTAGCTCCAGTAAGTGAATTAAAAACTGATGTTAGCATTCACCATTTAATATCAGACTGTTGTTTTGATTTGTGACAGTTTTCTATTCCTATTCTATTTCAACCTATTATAGTTTCTAGGAACCTCCGGTAATTTTAGCATAACATCCATTTTTAAATCAGTAATTGTTTAGGAAAAGTCAGTTACACATTTTTATGAGCCATTCTCAAGGGTTAAATTGTTTAATTTTATCAATAAATTAATGATGATTATTTACTGCAAACAATTGTAACATAAACCTAACACACCTTACTTGGAAATAAGTATTTACTGTTAAGTGAGATGAGGCAATCTAAAAGTAGTCTTGGCAGTGGGAATATTCAAGCCATGGATCCTGCTTATACCAGCCACTCTGGAAGCACCTCTTCCTGTTACCTTGCAGTGCCGAGGAAACACTTTCAGATGAGGCTGTGTTGGACCTGCTGCTCTTGACTGCAAATAATAATCAAAATCAATCCATCACTGTGAGGCTAACAGGTGCAAAGTATCAATGCATTGTCACATCATTTTATAAGGCATGTCATAGAAGCAAGAATGTAATTTAAATTACATTCAAAAGGATTAATTACAAAGTTACAACTTGTTCCCTGATAATTACATAATATTGTGCATGCTAAAGTGTGGGTTTGCTCTTTATTAGCACATCGATATCATACACTGTGCAAGAGTGGTTTTTGAAGTGTTTTTTTTAAATAAATGAAATATGAGCACAAAAAACAAGTAACTATTCATGAAACTCAGAAAATGAAGCAACAAAATTTGACATATTATGAGGTGAGGCAGGTGGTGCTCCAGACTCATGATCTCCCACAACTTTCTCTTGTGGATGTGGCCAGTCTGCTGACGGTGAAGCTGCAGGGTCTGAATATACAGAGACATCAGTAGGTTGGAGGCAGGGGTGGATTGGCTCACCTTTCTTTCTATTAAATGGACTTACAAGATGCTTAATAATTGTTCAACTTAAACCTCATTACTTTCTACAGTCACCCTATTTGCATGGTCCAGGAAGTCTGGCCTCCTGGTTTTGACAACTTTATTTTTTTATGTTCTTCTTCAGCCTCCTTTTCGTCAACGTTTTTTCATTGTGTTGGTTTGGTTCCTACATCTGGTAAATGTGACCACATTACGGTGGTAGCTAGATAGCTAAATGCTAAAAACACTCCAAGCACAACTTCCGTAACTCCAAACACAAGCGGCTTTCACACAGTGTTATTTTCCAGAAGTATTATGCCAATATGCCGGCTCATTGTGCTGTATGAAAGGTGGGGAGGTGGAGAAGGGGTCCAATTTGATCTGCCTCTGACCTGGGAACGTTGGTAGTAATAGAGACGGAACGATGTGTGTATGAAAAGCCACAGTCAGCATGCCGTTGTTGTATTGACATGCAACATATTTTTCTACGCTGGGATTATGCCGCAAATGTTTGTTCAGTATGAATGAGTGAATGCGGCATATTGGCAGATATTCTTTCTGTGTTTATTGCAGGATCTCTGTATGAAAGCAGCTACACTCTCCCCTCTTTCCCTTCCGACTCCCAACATCCATCCCTTTACAAATCTACACCAATCAAACACAAGTAACATGAAACAAAATTAAACAACAACCAATGAATCTCCATAAGCGTGAGAGAGAAAGTATACATGACATTCCATCAAACTCATTTTTGACAGCTATTTCCGGTCCCCCCCCCCCCCACCCCACCGGATGTCTGTATGTAACTGATAAGAGGGGGTGCATCCGGTCCCGCCCCAGCCGGAAATATGTCTGTATGTAACTGATAAGAGGGGGTGCATCCTGTCCCGCCCAAACGGAAATATGTATGTGTGTAACTGATAAGAGGGGGTGCATCCGGTCCCGCCCCAGCCGGAAATATGTCTGTGTGTAACTGATAAGAGGGGGTGCATCCTGTCCCGCCCAAACGGAAATATGTCTGTGTGTAACTGATAAGAGGGTTGCGTACATCCTTCCATTGTGTGTTTTTCATTGATTTAAAGACTTTATTAAGTAATACAACTTGAATGAATTAACTAGGAGGTGTTTGTGACAATAAATTTATCATTAAAAAGTATAGCAGTGAGTTATAAGTAAAGGAGGAATCTCCGGGGCCAGCAAAGGATCAGTAGGAGGTTTCTTTGGAATCAAGTCAGTCTTTATTATTAAACAAGTGAAGAATAAATTGAAATAATGACAGTAAAGCAGTAAAATGGTATAACGGTGAGTAAAAATTAAACAGCATTATAAATATAAAAATAAGAGTGAGTTCCAAAATTAAACTTTGTAAAATCTTTGCTAAAGCTTTGTGTGACAAACTTACCATCATTAAAGAACTAAAGAATAAAATGAAATAATTACAGTAAAATAGTATAACAGTGAGTTAAAATTAAACAGCATTTTAAATTACCTTCAACAGCATGCAGCAAAATAAGAGTTAATATAAGAGAGTTCCAAAATTAAACTTTGTAAAATCTTTGCTAGTGCTTTGTCTTACAAACTTGCCATCATTATCACTCCAAAGCTGTAGCCTAGTCTTAAACTTGTGAGTCTTAAAACTTTAATCCTTCTAGAGTCTGTGTCTCCTCTTCTCTGTCCTCTCTCTTTCTGGTGTAGCATAGGCTGTGGGGTGAATTGAGGAATGTGCTCCACCCCCCGGACCTCCTTCCATCCCTCCCCTCCCTCTGTTTTCTCAATGAGCCACATCAAGTTGTGTGTTTTAACTGTCATTAGCATCTTCAGGTAATCTTGTAGACCAGTTATGGAATAGAGTTATCTATAACCCCAGACTCCGGTTGTTAAAAACGGTCTGGGTTTATCAGACAGAGTTCGTTTTCGAAACAGGAACCTATTTTTATCAGCCGGAGACAAGAGTTTGGAACTGCAGACTATCTAATAATCTGGTTGTACCAGAAGTAACGGCCCCCAACCCCTCACCAGTTATTTCCCACATGCTGTCACATACAAAATAAGAGGGTGGGCAGAGTTACCGTGAGCCAATGATAAGAGACTAGGAGGGGTACCATAGGCCAATGATGGGGTCTGTGAAAATAAAAAGAGAACATTGTCTTCAAGAAATTGCCAAGAGGGCACTTGGATCCTTGAGCAGTATCTACCTACCAAATTTTTTTCAGCTAATGAGTGTTTGTATCTCTTAAAGACTTCTTGTTTCTTTCAAAAATGGAAATTTTAACATCAGTGTTAGTAATATTTAAACATTTCTCTGTGATCCAAAAATATTCAGGGCCACTTTATTGAGAATTTACAGTTTTACCTGTTATTCAGAAATAACTTGGATGCATGCACAAATATCAAGGATTGCAGTATTAGCAGCAAAAGGTACTTTATCCATTATATAAAATGTCTTATTACACTAGTGCAGTCATTTAAACTTTCTCTTCAGGTTTGTCTGTGGTGCTTGGTCATTTGGTGAAGTAGGCCTTTTTAAAGGGCCTTCATCTTTATCTTATTTTGTATTTGCTCTTCATAATTATAAATTAGGACTAAAATGCTCAGCAGCATGATCCTATTTTTTAAGTAATCACTAAAACAGGTTTATCAACTTTTACTAA